CCTTGAATTCCAAAAACTGGAATGATTGTTCCACTGTTGTTTCTCCCTTACAGTCCCAGCCTGCTTTGCCTGCTTCTTTGTGTACTGGCCATGTAATACTTTGCCTTGCCATGCCTCTTTTCTATTCTTCATTTGGTCTTTCTTGCACACCAGTTTGGTCTAAGTGACTATAAATTACTTAATTTGAGTCAAACTTCAGTCATGTTAAATATTATGTTAATTATAAGAATGCAATTAACTTTCATATTTTAAACAATGCATATAGTAACCATGGAAAATTTCCAGAAGCTTCAGGGATTTAACAAGCTATATGTCATTCTGCCTCCATCATGGTTGAAATGGAAATCCAACTCTAAAACTGCTTCCATTGATACCCAATACAAATAGTTGTACGGTGAGGATTTTTTGTTAAGACAATGGCAGGAGAAAGGATTTAACACTCTCTTCCATAACTGGCAGGACTGCTATGAGGAGGTAGTCCTGAAGATTTTCTTTATATTTGTGTATGTTTTCACATTAATTTCTTTCATGTTTAAGCTTCATAGTATGCAATGGAATTAACTTCTATGATGACATATATAGGAATGTGCTTAAAGGTATGATTAAATGGTCCAGCCATGCACAGGGACCTGTAAAATACAAGGGGAGGGAGAAATAATGTTGAATTATGTGGCCAGAAGGCTGGCAACGATTATATAACCAGAAAATGGAAAACGTCTTACATTAGCCAGGAGGATTAAGGATGGAAATTAAGGCTCAGAACAAATGACTATAGAGATATTTGGATGTATAGGGGATGTATGTGGACCAACTAGCAGATTTTAGGTACTCATTAGAAAACAAGAAGCATAGAATACAAGTCTGAATGGAAAGAAACAGGCTAAGTTAAACACAAGCAAGATAGAATTGCTGTTTATCCATCAAGGTTATCTGTTGACAGCTATTTAAGAATAAGCTGATAGCATAACAATTAATTGGATATAAAGCTGACTCAACTATACTCACTGGGTACTCATCTATAGTTCCTAATCACACTGGAGGGCAGTATTGAGTCGGCTGCCACAAGGCTGAGTCCTGGGTTCTCTTCATATTAATGACGTGGATTAGAAAATAGAAGAGATTATTATCAAATCTGCATGTTGACCCAAAATTGGATGGGATAGCTGATATTTTAGAAGACAGGAATAGATTCTGATAGATTACAGAAATGGACTGCAAACGATTAAATTTAACAAATAAAAGTGTAAAGTCCTTTTGGGACAGAACTAGTATCTAGCTTGGCAATTGTATGTGGCTTCTCAATTGTAGTTGTAAAAAGTTCTTGGAATACCTGATTATTAGATTGAATGTGAATTTGCAGCATGATATGTATGCAAAACAAGAAATGCAATTTTAAACTATTTACAGAACAGTAATTTCCAAATATTAGAAAATAATAGTTCTGCTTTATTCTGCATTAGTCAGACTGTATCTTGGATATTGTGATTAATTTTAGACACCAGACTTTAAGAAAATTTCAGCTGAACTGTAACAGGTTCATGGAATCATAATGAGGATGATCAAGGGACTAGAAACTATTATGAAACATTGAGAGATGAGAAAGGAAGACCAACAAAGTATATGATAGTACTCCTCGACTACTTGAAAGCTGTCTCAAAGAAGAAAATCAAGGCTTGTTTTCTATTCTCCCATAGCACAGGACACAGAATAATGGATCTAAATTACAAGAAGGAAAATTCTGATTGAATGTTAGAAGAAAGATTTCATACAGTAAGAGCCGTTTGATAGTTGAATCAAGTACCCAGAATGGAGATGGATTTTTCTTCATTGGATGTGCTAAAGCAGAGGGTAGATTGCAGTCTGTCAGGGATGTTCTGATTTAGACTTCTGCACTGAACAGGAGGATGGACTCAGTGGTTTCCATGGCTTCTTCCAGCTCTGGAATTCTATTATTCTGTGACAGCTACATATGACATCAGTGTATCAGAGAAAGTTCTTAGATTTTTAAAAAGTTGTTGAAAAAATGGACAGCACAGAATAACACAGGAATACATGTTGCGTGAATGTGGATCAGATTTATGCTGATCAGCATAGTCCTAATTGAATCAAAACTTCCAACAGTCAGTTATGATAGACTGATGAAGCACTTGAATGTGGGTAAAATATTCTTTAAAAATATGTTAACTCGCCTTCCAAATTATTCTTGACTTGTTTATTTATTATGCAGAAAAGGGGAGCTTTACCTGAAATATTGATTGCTATTTCTAATCCCAGTGAGATCAAAGAAATACTGGAAGTATATATGCTTTTAAAAACAGCATATTTTCATCTTGTGTTTTTTTTTAGTCAATCAGAGAGCATCCCTGATATGTATTCGGTTTGTTTGATTTTATAAATATTGCAGGATAAAGTATTATAGGAAAATTATCACAGTTTTAGCTCGCATTTAATCTGGAAACAGTGGTTTAGTTTTGGAAACAAAATCAAGTACATACTGTAATAGATACACTTAGAAATGTCTTTAATATTTTATAAACAAGCTATAATGTGTATGAAAGGTTGAAGCTTAAAACATACATGGTGCTAAAGGGCATGCACGTGTGTTTTCTTCATAACATGAAAAGGTGTCAGATGTATTATTAAACTGAGTCAATAACCATGATTTTACTGTACTGTATTTGTTCAATATAATTTGTGTGTTACCGATTTATGATGGGAATGATGGCAAAAAAACATGTTTGCTAGGTATTATTTGAAAGATAATACCTTTTTCTTTTCCTTGACAGGTTGTCAAGTTGTTAAGCAACAAAAGATCACAAGCAGTTGGTATATTAATGTCCAGCCTTCATTTAGATATGAAAGATATACAGCATGGTAAGTGAGATACCTTTTTTAATTAAACGGCTTCTTATTTTTCTCTTTAAAATAATGCTAGCCTTTTAAAAAAAATTAATGACATCTGTCTGGATAAACAGTATTATTTTATATTCCAATTAAATAGTCAAATCTAGATCTTCAGTTTATCTTTGAACCTTAGCTCTTCATGAATAATTTACTGAGATTTTCTCTGACATGATTCCTTCTAAAATGAATAGTGACTAGACCATGGCACAGTATTTCTTTAGCACAGGGAGTTGTGCCTACTTAAAACAGAGCATTGCTGATTGCAACTTTCAAAAACTAGCATTGGAATTTAAAAGTTTGGTGTCTTTTAATTATAATTATAATTTTCTCATTTAAAATTGAAGTTCCCATTTGCTTTATTTTGCAATACTGTAAAAACATCCTGAAAGCAGGATTTTGAAAGTTTGATATCAATATGCATCTTTGGGGGTGTCTATAATTCCTCCCTCCCCACTGACATTAAAGTTGGCTGTGTAAAAAGGTGAAAAGTGGAGCTATATTTATATTTGGAGTGTTCTTCTTGCCTCCTAAGGCCTTACAATAGATTTAAAGCAGATGGAAGAGAGCTGCATAGTGCTAGCTTACCTATTAAATAAATATGGTTTCAAGTATGTTGCAGACTTCATAAATCATAAAAAACATCCTTCTGGCTTTTCTAACCTACCTCTTTTAATTGTGAATTCTATTTGCTTTTTTTGGTGGAATAAATTCAACACAGTGCAAATGTTGGTGCACCCTGTCAGTCTGTGAGCAACTTTTAATTACAATTTAAGCTTTTCTTAAGTTGTTTTCATGGTTACTAAACTTCCTCAAGTTGAAGCATTTAGGCTGGTAGTCATAGATCGAGGCGCCAGTACTGGCGCCAAGAAGTACTTGGTATTTCTAAAGCTGGCAGATGTAGTTCAGTTAAGTCATAGAGTGAAATCTGAAAACAATGATATGGTCTTTCCTTCAGTCAAATATTCAGCTTGGTTTGAGTTAATAATGAGAACCTTATGAACAAAGGAGTCCGCCTAACATCTGTGTCTGTGGTAAAGCCAACACAAGTTGATTGAAAATTTGCTTGCTTAACATGCAATGCTAACAATAATATGGCATGAATGTCACTCGTTGAAGAGGTTAGGATTAAGTGCAAGTAATTGTTCTTTCCTACAAAATTTCTTGCAGCATTTTTTTGTTTCCTCATTTGGGCTTAGTGCTTAGGTTTTGGTCTTGATGAATGTGCCTATTTAGGGGGAACTGCTTTTTACTTATTGATTTTATTTGTTTGGTTGTTTTTGTTAAATGGTGTGCAGCAGTAATACAAGGCATTTGACAAGGGCTGTTTGCAAGCTGGATTTCTGAACATGGAAAATTATATGGATTGTGGATGAGAAAATCAACCCCAAACAGACCTGCCCACTTTCCTACATATATTTACATGTGTAAATAGCCTTCTATTTTCTGCTTCCCATTTGCTTGAAGCACTTATTCAAGAACATAAAGAAATTAACCTGGCATCTTTATATTGTTATAACTGGAAGATTCCTCCCTTCCCCCAAATTCCAGTGCAGAACTGTTGTTCCTGATCCAAACCAAAGTCTATCTGTAATTGGACATGTAAAGATAAATGAGTGTCCCAATTTTTTTCCTCAAATTAGTTTTAAAACTGGAAGACCCTGAATAATTTTATGCTAGGGGAATAGTATCTAAAGCTTCAACCCTGCAAAGTAGGGCAGGCTCCCAGACCCCTTTGTTATATAGGTATGTTGCCATAACTTGCTCAATGTCAACCCACAAAAAATCCAAGCCAAATGGCTGCACTTGAAAACAGCATCCTTCTCCAAACTTTGCTATTCTTACCTTAAGAACCAGGTAAGTGTGTACACCAAGCAGTCCAGCCAGTGGCTAAGATGGTTCCATCAGGCTAGACAAAAAGACAAAATCAACTCCAATTACAATTAAACAAAATGTAGATGTGGACTTTGCTAACTAAAACTTATTAGTCATTGCTACCTAAACTCATCAGGAAACTTAATTTATTATTGTACTTATAGCCTATTGAAAGCAGTTCATCCAACAGGAGGCGTTCTCAATGTATGGGAATAGGAGGGAAATTCAAACTGGCAAATCAGTGCCTTGGATGACCGAATCAGGGGCCTTCGTGATTCGGTGATTCCTATAATACCTCAGTGGTAAGACCGAATAATAGCAAATTCAGTGGATTTAGGTTGGTTTTAATCTGAGTATGTCCAGATATGTTCTTTCTTGCTTTAGCAAGTGGAAAAGGAAAGTCTGGGATGTCACATAAAAGCTTAGGGGGGGGGGAAATCCCCACTATTTCTCTGCCCCTTGAACAGCTTGTTAGCTAAGACTTCATCAATTTTGAGAAAAGAATGAAAGACTGTAGAGGCAACTCAAAGGTGAGTATGGATAGTGTTTTTAAACTGTTTTGGGGAAACAGCCAGGGTTTCCCTAATAACTTGAAGCTGTTTTCAATCCATTTAATTTCATTGGCCAAATCAGAACAGTAAAATCATAAATGAAGAGGAAATGCTAGCAGATCCCTTTTCAGGCATCACATTGAAGCAACTGGAAAACAAAAATACTAGAAGGTTTTTAGATGAAAGAGAACATACAAGCTTTTACATGGAAAAACACTGAAGGCACATCTACCTTTTCCAATATACTGTATCTCTGTGAAAATAAAATTTCAGTTTATATTCCAGTCAGGACCGTATAGGGTGAATATTATTCCAGATCTTTCATTAACAATGCTTCCCAGACATTAGCAAAATATGCCATCATATGACAGCATATACATCCTATTAAGGTCTATAATTGATGTTTTTTTAAATGTTAGGGAAAATAAAGAGTACTATTAAAACATGTTTTATTACAATCTTCACTTTATTTGATCTGCTTTTTAAAGAATGTCATATGTATTCCTCATTAAAAATATATAATTTGGTGTTCTATGATCTTGAAAAGTTTAAGTAACATGGGTTAGGAAACCTTCAATCACTCAGAATTGGCCCTACAATACCTTTTCTTCTGGGCACAGAAGAAAGCTGCAGAAATCATCTGCAGGAGGGTGCAAGGATCATCTGCAAGGATAAGACGGAGAAGTTTATGCCTTGAAATTTCTGTGAATAAGCCTACTTCCCCATGTAAACTAATCCAACCCATTGCATAAGGATGAGGCTAAAAGTACACATGTCATGTCACTGAAGGAAATGGCTTTGAAATTGGACCATGTTTTCTTAAACAGGCAGTTAAGAGTTTAACAATAGTGAATGCTCAACATCACATTTTCAGCATTTCACGGTGGGATAGGATGAAGTCACTCCCCAAAGATTTTCAGGGATGGGTAGAATTTGAAGAATGCTTAGAGCTTGGCCTTATCTTTCTAATATTTGTTTTATAATTGTTCTATGCCTATATTTAGGCAAACTGAGCCTAATGGGAATATACAGACTCCAAAAAACCAGCAGCAAAATAACCCTGTATCAGATTCCTAAGGAGTCAGTGCTACAGGAACCAAAGCTGCACCTAAATTCCAACATACTCCAACTGAAAACTCCCAGCATTTTCCCAATTCTTAGACCCTCATGTCCATCTGTGAAACTGATTCTACATCTTTTGACCAAGAGGATACCGTTTTCAGAAGTCTGTGGAGAGATGTTTGGGCTATTTGGGTCAGGAGATTTGACTAGATTTCATACTGAAGGAAAGTGGAATATTTGATCATCTCAGACAGAGTTCTGATGCTCTTTGAATACCAGATGGGATCACTCTGTTTTTGGTATGATTATAGGATTTGAAGCATTTCAAGTCTGATTTGCTAGTGTAGCTAGTTCTTCTTCTGGGATCCTTTCTACCTTTAAGTAGAAATACACAATATCTAAATCCTGGTTAGTAACATACATGGATTATGATGATATAGCCTCATCAGATAAACTATTCTATTGCTGAACATTATGGGTTGGTTTATGCAACATGCTAAGACAATGGCTGGATTCTCACAAGATGTTGATTAAATGGGGTATTGTGCCATATTGAAGCTTCATGTAAATAGATTCCTTTGTGTAAGCCATTTGGATTTTTGTTTTGTTTTGTTTTGTTACATTTCCTAATAAAAGAAAATGTTCTTCCCTTGTTCATTACCATTTGAAAAATCAGAACAATATTTTTTAAAAAAAATTCTCTAGTTTTAGTTATTCTTATTGAATCTTATTTATTTCTCATTAGGCTGGTTCACCTGTAACACGAAATCATGGTATTATATATGTAAATAGTGGGCAAGGTATACCATTCTAATTTGGAGAGTTAACAGAAATTTATGTAGTTTCAGGTGTAAATTTGAGATACAGTAGATCCTTCTGAATACTGTAGATAGATGTGAACAAATCAGCTAAGATTTCATTCAAGATTCAAAGCTGGCAAATTTTGATTTGAATTTGAGTTTCAAAAACACCAAGGTTTTATTTGCATTGGTTCAAGAAATGATTTGATAAAGCTTCAGTCACAGGGCATATCGGGGAAGCATCAAAATGCCTGCAGCTGCTTTATTTTTGAGCAAAATAGGACAAAAATAGCAAACATGGTAGATGTTTTAGAAGACTTTAATACTGTTTAGTTTCAGCAGATAGTTTCAAGGATTTTGCTACAACAAGTATTTAAAGCATTTTCCTTGCATCTCCTTTATGGTAGAAATACTATCTAAATAATAAAATAAATAGGTAAAAGGGATGCAGAAAGGAGAGTGCAACAACTTCCAAAATTGTTCAATAAATAGTCTGTAGAGGGCTGTGCACATTTCAAATATGATATGGGAGAAGCATTTCGCACCTTGAGCAAATGCAGCTCCTCTTTGCTACTCATTAAAATAGCTCTCTCCTCCACCACCACCATCACCACCATGTTTTCATGTGGGCCTGAAATCTGCTTTAAGAAGTTGATTCATTTAAGTTAATGCAACTCCTAAAGGA